ATATAGCCTCTTAGATTCCAGTCCTGTTCTACTGTTGAATAGTTTTAATACAATATTGTAAACTATTAAATTCTATTATAGAAGTAGAGAAAACGTATGAAACTGAAGATTTGGTTCAGTGGTAGAGCAGTTGACTAGAATGCCTAAGGCCCAGATTCAATACCCAGTCCTGGCTACCCCATCCCACCCCAGCTGGGAAAAAGAAAACAAATGTGGTAGATGAATGTCCTCAGGAAAGACACCAAATGTGGGAAGTAGCTTAAGAGAAAGAACCACCACAGGCTTGGGTAAGGACTCATAGTGAAAATGCAAACTGGTAAAGCAAGGGCAAATTTCAGTTTCAAAAATATACTTAAAGTAGTTAAGTTAGCAATCACCTGATACTACACAAACAGAATACACAGAAAATGTGACAGAAATAAGGAGGCTGAAGGGACTTAACACTTGAAGTCATCACTATGTCATCTCTAGGCTAACAGCTGTATCACCTCCCTATAAAGCTACCCACTTCAAACACTACAAATGGCCTTTTTCTGGAACTGCAGGGGATCTCCCTGAGGAAAGCAAATAAGACCTGTGGCTTATCAGCAGACAAACTCACAGAGACACAGCGATGTCCAGTGTGCTTGCTACTGACCAGCACTGCCTTAATACATTGATACCCCAATATCAGCTCTGGTCCTCAGAGCCCTGAAATCAATGGAAGAAGGCTGGTGTGAAAGAGACAGACAGGGTCAATCAGCTTAGGCTATAGGGCAAGATTCAGAGAGAATTTCAAGTACTCTATTGCTGAGATAAGTGTCCAGCCGTTTGCGGTCTCTCTTAAATGTATCAACCTACTTTATGACTTGCCTCTTGAACCTAGACCTGCCTTTTAAACAGAGTGGAGAAAACTGCACATTCGATCATGATAGCCTGGTTGCTGGTTGCTTTTGTTGCATCCCCTCCTCAAGAGCTGGCCTGGCACTGTGCTCAGGATCCTATGACTGTATGAAGGGATTTCTCAGGGAACACCTACAGAAACAGAATCTGCATTTTAACAAGATCTCCAAGTGATTCATATGCATATTACAGTTTAAGAAGCACTGTTGAAACTTAAAGCCTCCACACAGACATAAAAAGTTGGATCTAGAACTCTCTTCTGAATGTCCATACTGAAAGAAAAAAAGTCTTAAACGCCAAGGATAGTGATTCTGAGCCCCTAGGAGGCAGAGAATAAAAAGAACCATCTTCCAAGGCTTCCAAGGACCCTCTGAGGAGTGAAAGAAGCACCTCTGCCCTTGCCTATCCTTGTCTGAAAACTGGGTCGCCAAAGTGCAGCACAGTTTGAAAAACACTTGAAGCAAGGAATACAATGCATCACAACATGAATTCTGCTATCTCATACTTGCCGGGAGTTAGGAAAATCTTTTTCAGATGACACCATTTCAAGACTACAAACCTAAAGAACACAGGGCTACTAGTACCAGAAAGGGTTATTTATGAGTTCCTTAATGAGACTGTAGTGACCCAAGGAAGGTCACCAAACAGCAGATGAGACTGAAAAACCTTGTTAATGGGATGTCCACCTCCCACCCACCCACCCCCTCACTGTGACGGAGCCTCCCTCACTGGGAGGACATGGGTTTTATTCATAATCTTTCTGACACATACTAGATCCTCAGTCAATGTTTTAAAACGATAGAGAAGAAAGTGAAAAAGGCTACTTTCGTTTAGCCTTGATTGATGTTTACTTTCATTAAATACCTTGCTTTTGAAATACTTCTGAAAATTAAAACATTCTATATCTTAAGTTAATATTGGTCATAACATTCCCTCAAAGTAAGTTTTGTAGTCTCTATTAATAATCTGACTCTGATAGTCCATGACCTTATTAAGTACATCAACCTATGCAATTAGAAATAACTGTGCCTGTAAAAAGACAGAGAAACCCCACGCACTGCTGGCCGGCCAGCAATACAATGCTATCTTTTGGAGAAGGGGAAGATACTGCATCAGTTTCTTACAATGTATCCCATGGTGGCCCTGAAGTTTCGTTCCTCCTGCTCCAGCCTTTCAAACCTGTACTTTACAGGCATGTACCACTACATCTCAATGAATCTGACCAATGTCAAATAAGTAATCAATGCAAGGAACATGTTTCAGGAAAAGTCAACTTGTTTGTTTGTTTGTTTGTTTGTTTGTTTGTTTTTCTGGGTCCAAATTTAAGACATCCTCAGGTCTTGAACATTTCCTGAGAATCACTGTAAGAGAACTGACCTGGACTTAGAACCAGTGTCACACCACAAAGCTCAGGCGGAGAGTAATGAAGAACTAAATATGTCGGGAATATTTTACCCAGTTTAGAAAAAATGGGATTGCCAAACATATAAAAGTTGCAAACATTATTTCTGTGAAGAGTACGCTTTCTATTGCTTCTCAAAGAGGGAGTATTTAAACAGCAAAGAAAAGGAGTTTGATCTTAACCTTCCATTGCCTAAATAAAGCTTTACAAATAAACATAAGCAAGCATATATAGTGAATGGGTGAACACATTCTGTTCCAAATAGCCCATGGAACCCCTGTCACTGCACATCAAGTACAGCCAAGAACTCAAAGGCACAAGGCATTTGCGCACAGTTCTGTTACACTGTTGAACCTGAGTTTATTTTAAATAAAACGTACTCCAGAACTGACTACTAGGTCACAGAAGGGCTAATCTTACAGAAAGGAATGTCTCCTGCAGCTAGCAGCATGACTAACACACATGATGAGCCCACAAAAGCACTGGTTGGATTTTGTTTTTAAATTATCACCCTTTGAGAAAAAAATGTAAATGGGGAATGAACCAATCTGTACCATCAGTAGAAAGCTGCCTGCAAACGTCCAAGTGGATCCACTTTCCTGTTAAACAAGGGAAGCAACAAGAAAGAGTAATTGTCCCATTCATTACAAAGGAGATAAGAATGACACTTGTGTTTGCAAACTTAATTCACTCCAACTAGTTAACAGGCCAGTGAAAGGCCAATGCCCTCCATTGCTCAGATCTTCCCGGGACCCAGGTTCTTTATGAAATGGGTTAAATGCAGACATTCTCTTTTTCTATGTGAAACCCAGTTGGAATGAAAGAAGCAACACACTTATTATAAGCATAGAAACAAGAAAGTCTACATTTCAAATTTTCATACCAAAGAGCTGGCTTGTTCACGTATGAAGACATAGTTCAATGACAAGTCCTTTAAAATCCATCACACAGACCACTGCGCAGTTATGTTCTGTGCGTCACAGGACCTGAATACAGGCTGGTGTCCCACGAGACTCGAGGGCTAACAGTCTAGATGATAAATGTTCATAATCTGCTATTCCCCTGCTTTCAGTAGTCAGTGGCCGGGATTAACAAACTCCTTGAAGAGCTTTTTCACTTACGTATCTCATGTTCAGTTTAAAACAGTTTAGTCTTACCGGTTTCTTCCTAAGGGGAAGAAAGATGATGTTCAAAGGACTGTTAAATAGTAAGGTCTGGGAGCTCACTGGATTAAGGAAAGGATACCTTTGAAGCTGGTGCCTAAAAGTGAGAACAACCCCCAAGACCGGGCAAGCAGAGAGAATTAATACAAGAAGGTATTAAAACATCCAAGGACACAGATGACTCTCCAACTAAATTCATATCTCTGGTTCATTTTAAACAGAGATGAACTGCATGTGGTAATTCTGACCCAAAGTGTCCACCATATACTAATAACTCTGCCTCACTAACATCTATACAGAATCTCACAGGATATTATTTTATTTCAAAATATCATTGCTTAGTCTCAGCAGTGCCAGGCACTTCTGTGGGGATTTCCACGTAAGTTCTCTACCTTAGAGCTTCATATACGAGTCCATGGGTCAGAAATGACAACTGTCAGTGACTTTAGGTTTTTGAGGAACAAATGGACAAAGATATACTATCAAATTCCAAATCTATCATCTGTACATCATGTGTGCTAGAAAGTGCTATCAAACTACACATTTGCACCATAACTCCCTGCACGTACAGACATGACATGATTCCCTGCACGTACAGACATGACATGATGCTTGAATCTAAAGACTGAGCTAGTGGGCAAGAACACTCTGAAAAAGCACTGCAAGGGATTCTGATATTCAACCAACTACCTCCCACCCTCGTTGGCATTTTCCACTAAAGGCATTCCGCCACTGGCTGCTAAGAGGCTCTCTGCCCCTCGCCTAGATCAAATGTTAGTTACGTGAAGACATCACAGTAAAGCATCTGAACTCCACTGGCATTTATCTGATATATAAGGGGAAAAGATGATGCCATGAAGAGCAAGTCAATTAATTACACTTCCCGTCACAAAATTTCCCCGTAAAGCTACGCAACACATTCTGAAACTGAAGTTGTACACTGTCACGGCTTTGCAGAGCAAGTACTTAAGTCAGCTGATACACTTCCATAAAGCAAATGTTCACAACCAAGTAGCAATCCGAAAAGGAAAAAAGAAAGTTCAGCATCATGATCCACTTACACTGAAGGGATGTCTCCGATACATTTAGCCAGTAAATAAAACCTCAAGGCTACCATGGATCATCACCCAGTGCACCTTATTTCCTGTGTCATATAACGTAGTCAGAAAGTGATTATTGACAGGGAATCTTAAAGAACCCCTTGTAAACTTGTAAAAACAGTTGCATTTCAAAAGCTCCTGTTTGTTTGGAGGGTGTGTGTGTGTGTGTGTGTGTGTGTGTGTGTGCATGCTGCTCAGATTCCACCCCACTGGAACGTACCTCACAAACTTCTTCACCTTTCCGATATCTCACTGGTGGTTCATGCTCATCGGACATCACAGTAACAAACCGGACTGACACATCTTCAACTCCCTACTCCTAAAGTCCTCCGGAACAGGTGCACACCAACCACCTCCAATTTCTTACGAAACCCAGTAGCTGTCAAAACTATCCTGCATAGGCCCCAGTGCTGAAAGGAAACTTAAGGAACAATCTGAAAAAAGCACACTTACCTTAATCGGAGCACAACTAAACTTAATTTTCCTATTTGCTGGGATTTCTTCTTCTTCCGGCAAGCCAACTATCTCCGAGTACTCCATATCGGGCTGATAGTAATTGTTCTCGTCACTGTCTTCCTCCTCATCTTGCTCTGTGCCTGTCTCCCCCCAGTCCGAGTTATACCTGGATCTCACCCTATACACGTTATAGTCACTATGCATGTATACATGGGAACTCTCAAGACTGTTTGCGTCTTCAGGTACTTCTTTCCCACAGCTGGATGCAGAAGCATCGGGGGAGGTTAGGTCACCACCTGTCAGATCTTTCTTCTGTTGCTGAGCTGTCTGACTCCCAGCCACGTTAGCTTCAGCATCTTCTAACGGCTCGTTCTGTGGTGAAAGGATATTAGACTTTGGCATTGCCTGGCTTTCAGCAGAGGGTTCTTCGGGACTGTCTTTATCAGTGCTGTCCAGAGTCTCTGGTTGAGCTATGACGTCCTCAGCTTCTGTGCTCAGCTGTCTCTCTCCACTAGGCAATGAAGCTGAAGAGGTACCTTTCTGAGCCACTTCCGGTACTGGCACAGCATTACCCTTCTGAGGATCCTCAGTATCCGTATCTTGTTTGTTTGAAGAAGGCCTCAAATTAGGATCCTTGAGACGGCCAAAGGTATCCAGATTGGTTACGGTAACAGATGGTAAATTCAGGGGGTAATGCCCAGTCACTGAGTAGTCACTGTTCTCAGCCTTCCCAGAAGTGATGGCACCTGGAGACTCACTGCTCTCAAACACTGCACTCAGTTGACTCACCGTGGGAGAGACAGCTTCCGTCCGGGGGCTCAGGCTGTCCAAGGAATCACTGCTGCCTCTATTGGACTTGGAGCCGCCCCACTCATCCTGCTGCTCAACCCCTCCACCTTTCTCTTTCTTTGGGGAATAGCGATTATTTTGCCCTGACTCATGCACACTTCTCTCAAACATCTTTCGAGTCTCTGTGAACTTAGCATACGAAGGGCCATCATGCATTGTGTCAAATCTACTAATTCGTTCAGAGACAGAGGACTCCAATTTAACCACTGAGCCATCCGTTTTCTCCACAAACTCTTTGGGCTTCATTCTTCTCTGAGGGGATGAGGGCCTACCTTTCCCCCTCGTTTTGGCAATGATAGCAGCATTCTCATTAGGCTCCATACCCATCTGCATAAATAGGTTTTTAATTCTGTTGACATTGGAGCCATACTTCCTACCTCTGCTCTGCTGCGAGCCCTCACCTTCCTTCGTTTTCTGTTCCCCATCTGGCTTGGGTTTGTCAAAAGTACTTTTCAGTGCCTGGAACTCTGTTCTGTACGCATTCCTGTGAGGTGAGGCACTTCTGAGAGTGGTTCGTTCACCTGAAGACTCAGCTTTCAACATTTTTACTTCAAGGTGAAAAGCCAATGCTCATAATGATCACGGGGGGAAAAAAACCAACAAAAAAAAACAAAAAGACCTCTCTTCCTACTCTCCAGTGTTTGACCAGGTAAAGGGCCTCTCAAACAGCACACTTGTCCAGTGGTGATTCCAACAGGTGTATCAGAAATTTATTCACAGTCAAGAGTTAGATAAAATGGCTTTTTTCAAAGCAAGACTAGAAGTTCATCTGTAATAGAAAAGAACGAGTTTCTGAATTCATGTGTTTATCTGAATTTCTAGTCAGTCAACCAATCAACACTTAACACTTTGTTTTCCAAGTGGTTTAGCCACACATCAAATGAATTACCTCGAAATGGGATGTTAAAGTTGAGAAGCTAAAGAGGTATTCCAGTTTGTCCTTGGTAGCAGAAGTGTTTCAAACATAACTTGGAGATGCTTACAAAATACCCTCCTACACACACACACACACACACCACTTGACAGTAATGCTTTAGACCAAGTTTGAGGTATTTCTGTGGATGTATTATGAAAGAATTCAACAACTCATTTACCCCTTTAAAAAAAAAAATCAAAGTGGTCACTTGATTTCGGAATTTTCCATAACCGTGCAGAACAGGGAAAAGTTGGGAGTCTGTGTTTCCAAACTCTAAAGTACGGTTACGAGGGGCTTCTGTAACTGTTCTGAGCCGATATGCTCATGTCCAACATGCCCAAAGTATCCATTTCAGTGCAATTTCAGGACAAAACAGACAGAAGTTAGTTCTGGAAGGTCAATTAAATTTTACTATAAGTTTTTCCGTGCATTGTTTGGAAGTTTCCTAGCCAAAAGGCTATTATTAATTAGGGAGTAGAGTCTCATGGGAACAGACACATAAAAATGTAACAATCAGAAATCAGGTAAACCATGACACTTCCTTCCTTACACAGCCCTGGTTTGTGTACTCCTTCTGGCCCCTAACTTACTACAAGATGGGGGTAGGGGGAGAGCAAATGTCACACATGCTTGCTGTCCTCCAGCCCACAGCTGGATTTTTCTATCAATATGCCAGTAGTCCAACACTTCAGGCACTCAATGCAGTTCTAAACAGTTTTCATTCTGGTTTGTTTTGTTTTGTTTTAATATTAGAGGGAACCACATCACCCTCAAGCACCATCAGCTGAGGAAGCCCACACTTTCACTTAAATCAGCTCCAAAACTCGCTTCCTGGCCCAGCATGCACGCATGCATGGCCCATGCATGCAAACAAGAGAGGAGTGTGGTGCCTGTGGTTTGGGTTTTTTTTTTTCTTTATTTATTCCTTTTTTTTTTTTGGAAAGGGTTGACAATGTCCTTTTTACTCATCAACACCCTCCCCTCTCCTCTAGCTGCACACCCCGCTCCCTCCCTCGGCCAATTCAAGCCCGAGGGGGCGGAGGCGGGGGCGAAGGGGCCGCCGGGGATTCAAAAACCTGCCCTCACAAAAGACAAACATAAATAACACCAACTTGAGAGGCAGCCGAGTTCCCCCAGCCTGGTTCGGGACGCAATCCCTCGGCCCCGGGGCAGGGCCGGGAGAGCAGGTGACGCCAAGCGCTAAGGCAGGAGGTCGCAGTCTAGCTTTGTGCCAAGAAGCACCTGAAGTCCTAACACATTGGCTGCGGCTGCCGGTGGCTGCCAGGCGGATCCCAGTGTGTGGCACCGGGAGGAGGCGAGCCCGCCGGCCACCTTAAGCAGAGAGAGAGAGCAAAGGCTAGGGTGGTGATCACAAATGCCTCTGTTTGTCCTCCCAGTGTGCCGGGAAACAATAGATCCCGCGGATAATGCCTCCGCTCCTCACCCCAGCGCTCCCGACCGCAGTCCACCCCCACCCGCCCGCGGGTCCGCCTTTGTGCACGCCGCCGCGTCCCCGCGCTCCCGCCGCCCCGCCACCCGCACGCCGCCCCCTTACCGAGAGGCCCGGGCGGGAGGTCGGACTCCTCCGGCGCTCTCCCTCCCCCCGCCCCCCGTGACCGTGCGGGCTCGGCGCAGACCGTGTGCCCTCCGCCCGCTCGTCACGGCGCGGCGCGCGCGGCGGCCGCCTGCACTCGCGCCTCGGCCCCCCACGCGCGTCTTGCCCGCGCGGGGCGGCCCCGGGACGCGCGCTGCGCTCCCCCATCCACCCCCCACCCCCACCCCAGCCATGGCGGCCCGGCCTGGGGACCCGACGCGCTAGCACCCTCGCCTGCGGCCTGGGATTTGGGATGCCGCTCGGCCCACGTGCGGGGCCCCCACGCTGGGCCCTGAGGCCCACGAGGCCCGGTGGACTAGAGGACAGGCCGCGGGGATGAGGAAGGCCCCGGGGTAACAGGTGCCTCACCTCGGCTGATGGGATTAACTCTAGGGCCGCAGAGAGAGGGAGCCCAGCAGCGAAATCCCAGGAGAGGGAGAGAGGGAGCCTCTGGCGGCCAACGAAGGGCGAAAAGCACCGGCCCGAGGCGAGGCCGCCCCACCCCCAAGACCGTGGGCGAGGGGGTTCTGGCACTTAGGGCAAGGCCTTGTGCCTCTGGGGCCTGGCAAATGTGGGTTCCAGGGCAGGCTTTGGACGACCAGATGCTGTGGACTCCACAAAGTCTGTAGTTAACTCGGTGACCCCAGGCATTCAAGGCCTGACAATGGCCTGGGCTGGCCTAGAAGGCCAAGACCTAGGCCCTATTCTAGTGTGGCATCCACTAGAATGACCCAGCTGGCCGTCAAGGCCACACGGCTAAAAGGAAAGGGATGAAGAGGACTTTGGACTTTTCTTCTTGTGTATCTCTTCAGTTCACACTCCCTGGTTTTGCCCTGTTATAAACTCTGAGTACGCTCTCTCCCAATATGAAGGGTTACACACTTTTCTCCTACATACAAAATGGACCGTGATGGTCAACATAGATCGTTAATGCATCCAAAAGCCCTGTGGGGCAGAGATACGATTTTTAAAGAGACAAAATTGTGGTTTTGCCACACATGTGTGAGGTGCATGTATAATCCCAACACTGCCCAAGACAAGAGAATTGAGTTTGTGGACACCCTATAATCCAGCCATTGTCTGGAGATACAAAAAACAATCGCCAGCCACGGTGGCCCATGCCTTTAATCCCAGCAGAGAGGCAGAGGTAGATGGATCTCAGAGTTTGAGACCACCCTGGACAAAAGAGTGAGTTCCAGGACAACCAAGGCTATTCAGAGAAAACAAATCAGGAAAAGATAAATAAATAAATAAATAAATAGTAACAACAATAGCTTGAAATCATGTGTGTGCTTAGAAAAAGTAGTAAGATAGTGTAAGCCTCTCAATACAGGCAATCTAGAAAGAGGCAAAAGTGCTTAGTATTTCATAGAGCACTGAAATGTTAGATTTAGAATTTCAGTAGTACTGACAGCTGTGGCAGGGGTCAGGGCACGACTCAGTGCTGCCGCCCTTCAGCCTGACCTGTTCCCTAGTCATTTAGATTTTAAAGCTCTGAACCTTTGCTTAGATGCAGAATTTTTAGAATTTGTTGGTAGCTGGCAGGATTGAGGCTTGTTAAAGGGTATTTCAGAGTAGATGGTAGGATGAAGACACACTCCAGAGCACAGCTGGAAGTTCTCTGAGGCATTCTCTTTGTTTTCCCTTTAGAATATACCATATCCGATATGTATCACTCATGTCAGTTTTGAAACTATTGCCTCCAAAGAGTGAGCAAGGAACCTAAATGAGATACCAGGGAAGTCCCACGGGCGTGCCCTCTAGATTTCAATTGGTAAGGTAAAATTTTAGATCACTTGAATTTAGGAAGATAGGCTATCTTTAAACAAAGTTCTTGTTTGAGATTCCTAAAAAATGTCTGGAAAAAGAAATGAAGAACTTCCATAGACATTTGTGGTCTGTCCTTAAGCTTGGCTCATAGCTATTTTAACGTGCGTGCGTGCGTGCGTGCGTGCGTGCGTGCGTGCGTGCGCAACTTTTACAGCAAATGTCACTAATTGTGCTGGAAGCCTTGCCTTTCATCTATTAAGTGGGCTCAGCTCTGGTATGAGGGTATTCTTTCCCTTCCATGTTCCAGTAATTTTCTCCCATCTTTCTATTCTGCCCTAGAATTGTCTTTGAGGATACATTCCAAGCCCTCCCCAGCCCCAATTTATAACTAAAATAAAAATAGTACTGAACCATGTGTGTGTGTGTGTGTGTGTGTGTGTGTGCTTATTCTGCACATACCTAACCACCAAGCTTAATTTAAGTAAGCCACAATACATTAGGAATAAAAAAGAAATGAAACAATACACTGTAGTAATCAATTAAAACAAAGTTTTCCAGACAGATATATAATTATATTTTGTTTAAGATTCATTTTATTTATGAGTATGTGTTTATGTGTCATGGGATAGCACGTGCATAGGAATACAGGTATTCATGGGGACCAGAAGCGTATATCGGATCTCTTGGAACTGGAGTCACAGATAGTATGAAGTTACCAGGTGTGGGGTGATGGGAACTGAACTCAGGTCCTAAGGAAGAACAGTACAGGACCTAACCACTGAGCCACCTCTCTAGCCTGAGATATCAGGACATGTTATTGACGAGAAAATGGAGGGTTGGGGCTTGTGATGTATTTACAACTTCATTTCCTAGAAAATAATGAGAGCAGAGCCAGGCAAGTATACCCAAAGAATCTGTGTGCTATGAAGGGAAATATTTCCGTTTCTAAATAATTCTCTCTACTTAATTCTGTAGATCTGATTTTCAGGTAGACATTTTTCCCCTCTTTTTTAAAGCATCTTCAAATTCTCTGTCCTTACCAAGAAACTGGCATTTCCTGTCTGAGAAGTGGGTGCTGCTTCTATAAGTATCAACAGATGTAACAGGCAGTGTGAGGGAGCTGCGGCTCCAGTCTCTACTTTGGAAAAGAACATTTGTGCTGTCTGGGATAATCTCGTGGAAACATTTCTGTCATTTCTCTGCAGCATAGGAACCAGGTTTTTTCAGAGAATAGCCTAAATAAATACAGCATCTAATCGCTGAGTTCTGTCTGTAGAAGAGGGGGCAGAGTTGGCAATAAAATTGGTCTTACACCTCTCTACAAAAAAAAGATGAATCATACAGAAAAGGAGCCAAAAGACTGGTTGGTTTGGGGTTTATTTTCTGAAGATGTGAAACTTTTGAAGGTCCATACTGAAGGAGTGGCAGGGTTTATAAACACCATGCTGCTGTGTGAGGACTCCGGTTCTCCACAGTGGCCTCACGCTTCTCATGCATGCAGATGCTAGAAGGCTCTACCAGACCTACTAACTGTATGCATGTGGATGTTGAGTCCATGTTGTTCCATAGCCACAGCAACCATAATGGTAAGACTCAACAGCTACTTGTGGCTAGAGGCCACCCTGTGGGACAGATACACATAGATTCAGAGCACTTGTTCCATCCAGAAACCCCCCAGGAGGTAGCACTACTCACACATGAGAGGCATACTGAGGCTATAAAGGCTTGTGCAGTTCGGAAGCTTACCGTTGTAGTAGATTGGAAGACAGCTGTTTCACTTCTTACAAGTGGAAGGGTTGTGTGAGCATGCTAAATATCCTGAATGGATTGGGATAGTTGGGATTTACAGTTTTCATATCAAAAAGCTTATAGAACCCAAGTATGGTGTGTTTCTCAGCACAGGGCAGAGTGAGGTGGGAAAGGAGTGTCCAAAGTTAGCTTCGGCTACATATCAAGACCCTAGATCAAAATAGAAAAACAAAAAAATAAAAACACAAGGAATATTGTGATTTACTTGCTTTTTGCAACAGACTCGGTAGAATTGACTACACAATCAAAAGTAGAAAAAAATATATATATATACATATATATATATGCATACATACACATATATATTATATGTATATTATAGTATATATATATGTGTGTATATTATGTATATATGTATATTATACTGTATGGTATATATTATATATAGTATAGTATGTATATATATATGTATGTGTATATATATATATGCTGTCAATAGCAGTCTGTGATAGTCTTCGTTGATTAGATTTAGAATCACTATGGATACCTCTGAGTGTATCTGCATACATTTCCTGAAAGATTTTACTGAAGAGGGAAGACCCATCCTGCATGTAGCCAGCATCAACCATGAGATAGGTTCCAGAAGTGGGTAAGCAGGACAGAGAAACAAGCTAAGCGTGGGCTCTCGTCAGTCTCTGCTTCCTGACTGTGGATGTGTGAGGGATACCATTTCATGTCCTAGGCATCATGCCTCTCCTGTGGAGACAGACTGTATCCTTATCAAACCGTGAGCCAAGGGAAACTCGTCTTAAGTTGCTTTTGCCAGGCATTTTGCTACATAACAAGAATGCCTAACATTATTTTTATTTTATCTGGGAGGCTTTCTCAATACACTGTTTAAGTATTGCTGATGAATATGCTGAGTATTCAAAGAAATGATGTGTGTGTGTAAGTGAAACATTTGTTCTCCCACCACGTTCAGGTGAGATGAAGCCCGAGTAAACACTAGAGAAACGTAATTGGGACTATTGGCTCAAATCTAGAATCCTACAGACCAGTAGGCTGAGACAGCTACGTCACCATGATTTCAAAACACTATGGACTTCACAATGAGTTCCAAGCCAGGGTAGGCCATGTAATGAGATCTTATCTCCAAAAAAACACAATAAAAGACTAGGGGAGGGTGACTAGGGTTACTATGAAAACTACCCATCATGTCTTCATTTGTAAGAAGAGTTCCAGTTATAGATGTTTACTCGGGTTGAGGAAAGAGTACTGCTAGAAGTTAGAGGGCCAGTTTAGGTTACATAGTTCCAGGCCAAGGCCAACTTAAGCTACAATGTGAGACCCTGAGTCAGCAAGAGGATACCTGGCTGGTTACAGACGAGCAGAAATTCCTGAAAGATAAAGAAAAAGACGAAATAGAACAAATATAAAAGCCTGTCGACCACTAAATTCTACACATGCACAGAGAGAGAGAGAGAGACAGAGAGACAGAGACAGAGACAGACAGAGAGAGAGACAGAGAGAGACAGAGAGAGACAGAGAGAGAGAGAGACAGAGAGAGAACTATCAGAAGAACAATTCTCGCAGGTCATTCCACGTATTTTTATAAGAGAATATTTTATTCACATCGGCTTCCCAAGCTAGCTTACCCAAAGTATATTTACAACTGCAGAGTCACATTGATAAATACCACAGTGCCTCATTGCCTTAAATGTTAAATGTTTTCTTAAAGGTCCACCTGCTAATAACACTGCCTCCACTTACGTCTTTTAGTCCTTTGTAGAATAGAAAGTATTTCTCTAAAGTAATCTTGTCAGTCAAACAGTAGGCCTGTAATTCCATCACAGGAGAGGCTAAGTCTTG